TTAATAACAATAGCCGCCGGTTAGTTTTTGGGGGCCCCCATGCAAAAATTCAGTTAGGAATGGTCAGACAAAACATTTTTTACCGATCGCGAAAGAATGGCACCTAAAGGCTGACTTTTGACCAAAAAGGTCAGATGTCATTCTTGCTGAAGTAAGTTGAAGAGGAGAGCGGGGGGGAAGCTTCTACTTCAGGGCACTCAACCCGGGAGGGGGCATGGGGGTTACCTGAAAATCATATGAATTTAATACTAGCAGGGCCATCCCTGTGTTAGCCTACGAAGTTTTCAGCCCACCTACCATGAAAGTATATTGCTACTACATCAAGTAAGAGGAATACATCTGACCAACATAACTTTTCTGCACACCAGGATATTTTAATGCGACGCAGATTTTCCTATCACATTGGCATCATCGGGAGATAATCGAAAAATCACGTGTAGTTCTGGCGTGCAGATAAAGTATTTTCTTTGGTTCTATGCTAAAGACTCCAAATTTGCTTGTTGAAATATAAATACATATAGAGAAGTAGAGAAGAGGTAAAGAGATATACAATATTACAGTAAGAATAAAATGTAATTATTTATATGTATAGGTAATTTTTCTCCTTCCCTACATATATAGATCTGAACTTAACAAATAACTATTTTCTGATTATAACTCATTTTTATTTTGCTTCTATACTACATCTTATCATTTCTCAACTTATCCAACATCGAACTTGTTACAAGTCACTATCTGTCTTTCCAATATTAGACTTATTTGGAATTGATAATACAAACGAATAATGCTGAATTCATTTCATATATTCTAGATATTTATTTCTGAAGAACTATCAGTTGNACATTTTCAGAAGTATCTTAAAAAAAATATGTTTTCATTAAATTAATTTTGAAATGTTATTTAGGTTTCAAAATAAGCAACAGTATAATTCTGATAAAAAGGGCTCATTATATGAATGAATGGGTGATTTGGAGATGACAGTTAACAAAACTAGTATGAAAGTAGTAGGAAATAATCTAAGTAATATGAAAGGAATGATACCTAATACAAAGTTACAATACTATCTTGTGCTGTTGTATATTTATAAATGAACATTATTATTATTATATTATTATCCTGATTACAATTACAAATCTTTAGAAACTCAAAAAAAATACTTTCTACAAATGGTAGAGAGTTAGGACAACAAGAGGATCGCTCTGAATTCTTGGGGTTCTTGTTGAATACTCTTTGTGAGCAAAAAAATAACAGAATCAATACTCCAATACAATCTATCTCGTCTTGTATTTGTAGATCTTTTGCTAGAAAAATTCTCGCTTGTTTACTTTGTAGTGAATGTTCAAGAGGTAGCAAAAACGAATGTGATTTTCTGGAACTTCAACTTGAGTTTCCTAATATAACTGATAACCAGTCAGTGCAAAGCTTATTGTTAAATCATCTGTAAATGGAACTTTAAACGGGTGATGATCAACTGTATTGCCAAACATGCGCCAAACTAAGTGACTATTATATGAAAACAAGTAGTTATAGCTGAGGCACCAGTCATTGTAATAATAACAATGATGATCTTCAAACATGACTCAACCTCTGACGGAAGCACCAAACTCTTACGAAGCTTCGAAATAGATGAACACTTCAATCTAGCAGACCATAATTATGATCTTCATGCAGTCATTGTTCACTGCGGTTCTGGCGTTGAATCTGATCATTATTACGCCTTGGTCAAAGACGAAACGGACTGGTTTAAGTTTGACGGTAGTCGTGTCATTAAGTGTTCTGGCGATGGTTTGAATTTATTGGAGCCTCTGGAGACACCCTACATTTTGTTTTATGAGAGAGAGGACATTGGCAGGTCAAGATCTTCAGATGATGTGGTGCTGCAGGTTTTTCTGTGTTTTCCTGCAGCTGAAAAACAAGTGGTCGACCTACAGTAATCCAAGACGAGGATTTGACGACTCTGGTGAAGACTGACCCATCGCAAATGGTGCGTGAGATGGGAAAGAACTGGGCATACCAGGCAAAAACGGCCTTCGTCGACTTCATCGAATCCTGAGTACAACCTTTTCATGCTGACAGAATTATTCGACTTGAGTTACGTTGGCAAAAGTACACTGATTCAAATGTCGCTTATTTCGGTTGAATTGAATGGACATTTACTGAGATATTACAGTTGACAGTAGACTCATAAAAACGGACAAAACTTCCGAAATAACCTAATACTGACGGACTGTATCATGGCCAAAGAGATGTGCAGTAGATGTGTAGAAATCTGTTATCAATCTGTTAAATTATTCGAGCCGTAAACATCCAAATTCAAGACCGTATTCAGTCAGTGATTGAGTTTAAAAGTGAATTGCATAAACATATGCAATTTAACAACCCAAACTTCACGCAGATACCATTTCTCTCACTGGCCATGACTCAGTCCGGTAGCTGTAACATAACATCGATTTTCAAATGTGCATTACATTTGTGTTTCATTATCTGGGACAATATTGTCTCAAAAATACTATGTTTACCCGTGTACATATTATATAAAACTAACAATAACTTTGAGAACATTTCATTTAATCTACATGCTAGGAAAATATAAACAGATAGTTTGAGTTGAGAGAAAAGTTGGCATTTGACGTATCCGTTTGCCACAGACGTAGTCTGAATATTGTTGTTATTCCAATGAATCAATTGATGAGCATCAATCAAAAGTTAGCGAAAACGGATCCGCTAAAATTAAAATGATACTTGAAAACAAGATTTTGTAGCCAGATGTCGGTGACTGTTGAAAATAGTTAGGATATGCTTTAATCTGGCCAACTTTTTTTTCAGAACATCGATCAAACCGTTCATTGAAAATCTCGACATTGACAAAACTGTTAAAAATGGAATTATAATTAAAAATCAGGAAACATCACATTTTCAGTTTAGTTATAATCTGAGAATAGTGAAAAAATATAAGAGAAATCTAAGTTTTTTTTAACAAAATGTCTTGAATAACATTATTCATTTGGAATGTTCAAAATACCGTCCCTCGATGCTAGGACAACGTCTAGGTGTCTAGGTTAAACACTTTTAATTCATATTAACTAATAATTTTTCTTAATGAAGGTTTCAGTGCCGCACTATTAGCAATTTTTATCCAAATTGTGTTTTCGTGCTAAGGAATTTTAAACAGTATAAAGAACAGATAAGATTAACCCCAAATCAGAAAATAATGGTGGAATTATATACACATGTTAACAAATATTTTCAACATATTCACCAACTTATTCGCCGCTTCACACAGAAAGGACGTCGGAGTGAGATGATGCGCGAACGATATAAAATACGTAACACAACACGCTTCTATGTTAATTGGAATATTTTTTTACATACAAAAAACGCGGGACAATCGTCCGCACCTCGTCTTAGCCCGACTTTCGTTCTGTGCAAATAGTCGCTAATGTAAAATATTTACAGAGGTAAAAGAACATCCAGATTACTTCCTTCCTAGTTAAACACCTTTTTAAATAACCATTTCATGATTATTGTTGAAGATACTTAAAATAGATTAACGATATTCATTGAAATCACATTTTCACTGATATGATATTTATACATTTTCCAACAGACAACCTAGTTTATATAAACCTTTGTATGGCTGCCAAAAAAGCGGCATTAGAATGAAAATTAATTTCTCAGCTACTTCTTCTCTATTATTGTTTCTCTCTTCTTTATTATTGTATGGTCATTGCTTCCTTCTCAGGCGCATTCGACCACCAAGAAGGGCTAAACTTTCTGACTAGGTGAGCTCAAACAACTCTAGCCAATCACAGCGAAGTAGCTTTTAGTGACGTTAGCGAGCATGACCCTAGCGTCCCAAATAATATTTTATACATAGTGTCTCAAATAAAATTCCAGATAAAAATCAGGGCAACCTGAGGAATAACTAAGAAAGAATTTGTCTCAATGTTATTTACTATTCAATTCAATTTTTAAAGTTTGTTTTATGAACAATGGTAATGAATAGTGGCTTTTTGAGTTTTTTTCAAAATATGATAACCTATATAACATATTTATGTAATGTTTGGATTCAGAAGTTTGATCGTCGCATCAGAAAAAATATATCACATCAAAATATTTTAATGATAGTGTTGAGTTGTCCAACTAAGTATAGTCAACTATGACATGAAAAAAAAGTGGATGACATTAAAACATATATTGGAATTAAGGTAAATACTTTAGTGAAAGTGTGGTTAATGATGATCTGATCCTACATTAGTATTGAGAAAAGTGTAATTTTCACATACCAGAAAATGACAGTTGACAGTTGTATGTTTTATATATTTTGATCATTTTTGTCATCCGGGATACAACTGTGCATTTGTCAAAACCTAGTATGTCGTCACGAGATATGTGGATATATATACATTATATAAGGCTAAAAATGAACATAACATGTCATACATAGTAACTTTTAACTTTTCAAAGGAAAATCTCCCACTTTGAGCCTTGAAAACTTACTGATTAAAGGAATTGTTATTTTAGATAAGTCTTTTTCAATTGATATTTTAAAAAGTTTTCAAAAGAGATTGTTTGAAATAATTTGTAACGGATAGAAATAGAAAGGTACTTTTTCGAAAAATTCAAAATATGCATGTCAATGTACGATGAATCATAGCTTATCTTTCCATTTCCTCAACTCATAATTTCTGCCGATAAACCGTTTCCAGGACTTTCTTCAAATTTCTTGTGTTATGACGATTATTTCCATTGCAAAGGATATGATGATCTGGATTATACCATTGCTTATTTTACTATTATAGAGGCTATAAGAATTATTCATTTGTCATGTTGATCATGTTTAAATGTTTCTCAAATACATTGCTCTAGTCAATTTGTTACTTCTATTGTTTCATACTAATACAAAAAGTTTGTTGATAGAAATACGTTTCTAATTTCTATTTCATTTTCAACATTCATTTCTCATAACAAACATTTCACATTTGTTACAGACATCCAGAGGAAATTGGTATTGTTTATCACAGATAAGGTGAATATCAGACTAGATATATAAGGAATATGGTCTCTTATATGATAAGTTGTGACGGGTATATATGCGATAATTACTAAGGTCACTTAAAATTTGGTCACTTCTATAAGTACAGGGTAATGAATATTATCATTGTAATCACAATTATCCAAAAGGGCTAAGCGTTTTTCCCAGACAACAGTACTGTAATTAACAATCTTCTTACAACTAAAACCTCTAGATTCAGACTGCAATATGAATTTGTCTAATGTGTCACCTCTTTCTGGAGCCATAATATAGGCAATTCCATCATTGGCAAGGCAATTCCAAAGGCATTCAATCAAATCTGCTCTAGCATCATCAAAAAATAGACAATCAGCACATAGAATAACATCATATTGATAGCTCGGTTCGAACGAAGACCATTTGAAAACATGACACTTGACTTCAATGTCAAACTCGTTACATTTGATAGTAGTTTGTACATTATCAACAGATAATTTGTTACCATCGGTGACTGTAACACTTGTTGCGTTACCATACTTTGCTACAAAAAGTCCTGCTAGACATGACATACCTCCTCCTAGTTCTATTACACTTTTATTCAAGAAATGCCCCAAATTTGAACAAACAAAGTAGCTGAGGGTTTCCTCTGATGGCCAAATACAAACATTGCCGGTGTTATTGAATCCCATTAGGTCTTCAGCAGAAAATGTACGATTTCTATGGCCGACATTTATAAAATAATCTGTGCCGTTTACACGTGTAGAGTATTTATACCAAGTACGTTTTTTGAATTGGTCGCAGTATTGGTTTTCAGGTGACATTATGGGAACTACATGAAGTTCTTGTGTTTTCAAGAGCATGAAGGAGGAAATTCGACGAACTGAAAATTCATCAGTTGGACTAGAAGGCTGGCTTTCCGAAGGACTCTGTCAAAAAAAAACTAGTTTTTCGAAAACATCAAACACATTTTTTCAGGATAATTATCAATTCTGAGTTGCAACATTCATTAAAATTATTCAAATATATTTTTTAAAATGATTTCAAGAAGAAAAACACAAGATGTTTTCACCAAAAATGCAAACTTATATATTCTTCTTGAAATAGTACTTCATATATAATTTTACCTGAGAGTATTGAATTATTCATGTTCTTAAAATATAGGACAATTATTCAATATATCAGTAACTAGGTCATTATTGGTGTATAACAGCCAACCAATTTATAAACACAGGGATTTATACTAAAGGAAACCAGGGGAAATTTACTCAGAATTGAGAAAAACTGTAATAATGCATCAAAATGAAGAAAACAACTATATTCTGCTATTCTTGCAATTAAAAAAAAAAACAAAATACATGCAGTTTCAGAGTTAACCAAGCAGAAACAAAAACTAAAGTTTAGGTTCAAACAGTGATGCATATGTACCTTTAATGCTTTTGCCAAAATAGCCCATCGGCGCCGGGCTACTTTTTTCTTTTCATTGCCAAATCGCAAAACTTCTTGGAAATCAATATTGTATTTAGAATCTAATCCGAATATGTCTTTAGATTGGTCCATAGAATAAGCATATTTAATGAGTGGAAAGCTGTCTGACTTGCCTGAAAGGCAATTCAAATGAAGTGAACAATTAAAATAATGAGTCAAATTTCAATCCTTCATGCTTTTATTTATGTAACAATGGTAACACGTGTGAAATAACAAGCTATTTAAATAAGCACAGTCCGAAAATAAAGTCATATAAAATGTCTATATTAATTTTATTAGTTATAGAAACTGTTGTCAAGGATAAATAAACACTTACATGTTTGAAAGTAGAACGATGAATACTAATCGCTCGTAACTTGTAACCTGTGCTTCTTTGATTTGAAAGTACAGACACTAAACACTATTGGAATGGAAATTGAATAAAGTCTCAGATGAAGTTTATATGTGAGCCATATAAAAATAAAACAACAAATCACGTCACAACTCGCAACTGTCACTCACTCATAAATATACATGACCAGAACATGACAATAAAATAACGTTGTTCGTTGTTCTCTCTTCTCTATTATTGTTTCTCTCTTCTTTATTATTGTATGGTCATTGCTTCCTTCTCAGGCGCATTCGACCACCAAGAAGGGCTAAACTTTCTGACTAGGTGAGCTCAAACAACTCTAGCCAATCACAGCGAAGTAGCTTTTAGTGACGTTAGCGAGCATGACCCTAGCGTCCCAAATAATATTTTATACATAGTGTCTCAAATAAAATTCCAGATAAAAATCAGGGCAACCTGAGGAATAACTAAGAAAGAATTTGTCTCAATGTTATTTACTATTCAATTCAATTTTTAAAGTTTGTTTTATGAACAATGGTAATGAATAGTGGCTTTTTGAGTTTTTTTCAAAATATGATAACCTATATAACATATTTATGTAATGTTTGGATTCAGAAGTTTGATCGTCGCATCAGAAAAAATATATCACATCAAAATATTTTAATGATAGTGTTGAGTTGTCCAACTAAGTATAGTCAACTATGACATGAAAAAAAGTGGATGACATTAAAACATATATTGGAATTAAGGTAAATACTTTAGTGAAAGTGTGGTTAATGATGATCTGATCCTACATTAGTATTGAGAACAGTGTCATTTTCACATACCAGAAAATGGCAGTTGACAGTTATATGTTTTATATATTTTGATCATTTTTGTCATCCGGGATACAACTGTGCATTTGTCAAAACCTAGTATGTCGTCACGAGATATGTGGATTGTTCGTATATCAGCTGATTAACGACAGCTGATTAACGATAAAACAGATTTTAAAACAGATTTTTTTAACATATCATCTGAGCTGAGTCTAATTAAACGTTATGAATTGAAGCATATTGAATATTTGAGGTGTGAATGAAGATGTATTCAGTCCAAGAATATTTTATTAGGCCAGTCAATAATAATTCACTACGGGTGGACCTATTCATGGTTATGAAATATTCCAATGATAATGTCAGATCAAATGAATCGAAGCGTTTCTGGGGTACAAGGTACAATTATTTAGATAGATTTTTTGCAGCAATCAGAAATATTATATTGGTATAAAAAGATAATGAATAAATTTTCGTCCATTCTGTTCATTAATAGGTTTTCAAGCATTTATTTTATTATTGTTTTGAAATAAATGTGGTGGATTTACATGACAGTTCCCCTCACAACAAAATTAACTTCTTTCAACGAACTCCTTTCTCAGCATAGCTAGTTGCAAAGCTTTTTAACTTTTTTCATTTTTGGTAACAGTTACAAACAATTCGTTAAAAAAGTACACTCATGTACTAAACAATAATTTTTGAGACCTTTTTATTCTCTATACTTCCACGTCATAGGAAGATTAACAGAAACAAATGAAAAAGAATTGAACTTTGACACCGTTTACTCAGGAACGTCTGAAACTATTGACGTTCCTAGTCGGCTCCTACAAGAAACGGAAATGAGTCTATACCGTTTGCCACTTTGCCACATTAAGCGGCAAGGCAGTTTTGAGTGTTTGTGGTTGACGCAAGCAGTGTTGGGAAATTCGATTCTTGTACTATCTATCAACTTGTATACGAAGTTGGGTTAATCTCTTTTATGGCGTCCAGATTTTGACAAAACAAAAGCGACTGTGTAATGACGTTTGTTTATATGGGCATTTATCGTTGATAATATTGACAATAAAAATTTTGTCTGATGTTTCGGAAAAAGGTATAATGACGGAACTAAGCTCTATCATTTCGAAATGTAGAATATGTTTTCAAATAGAGGAGAGAGAAATGATTCCTTTTTTCGAAAAACATTACAAGGGCAAGAGTCTAGCTGAGATTTTAAATAATGTTTCAACTCTGAAGGTAATTCTCATAGGCAACAAAGTTTTTTTACATGTTATCTACTACTAGGACTTTCTGTGTTTACCTTGCTGCTAAAACTTTCTGTGTTCACCTGGCTTCTAATTAACTTACAATACTACTAGAAAACTCAGTAAAATTTTCACACATCAATAAATTCCAAAACAAAATATTCCTTCTCATTGTCCTAATATATTAATCTTTGTTTTTGAAAGATTATTTGTGTTGCAGATTGACAATTGCCCGAAATGGCCAACCAAAGTATGCAAAAATTGTTCCTCAGTAATAATTAGTTTTAACAATTTGATACAAATATTGAAGGAAACTGAAGAAACCTTCAAAAACTCTTCAAATAAAAAAGAAGAAGTTGTTTTTATGGATGAGGAAGATTATAATAATTTCATTGAATGTGAGACTGGATCTTATGTTGAAAGTGATAATGAAGAAATCAAACCCAACCTGGAGTATACTACAAGTGAATTGACTGAGAACAAACAAGAAACTGAATGTGGGGATATATTTCAAAATGATATAAAAGATAATTGCAGAATTATAGATGAAATGGGCAATAGAGAAATTAAATCGGTAAAATACAGTTGTGAATCTTGTGGAGACTCTTTTTTATTCAAGTCAGGTTTCTGTCAGCATATGGTTCAAAAGCATAACACATACGTAATGGAAGATGAGTATAAGCAGTATAGTAAAGAAATAACTATAAGATTACCACCACCTTTACCCGAAAATGCAGTAAAAGTCATTAAAAAAACATATATATCTAAAAGAGCTCGATTTCAGTGTCAGATCTGCAAAACAATATTTTCTGCAGGACAGGAATTGAAGGATCATTACCATACACATAAAAATCATGTATGTGAACACTGTGGAGCAGGATTCATAAAAAGTTCCTACCTTCGGGATCACTTACTCATGCATTCTTCTGAGAGACGATATACATGTGAAATTTGTGGGAAAAAGTTCAAATATAGAAATGGCCTCTCTGTGCACAAAAATATACATGTCAATTTCAAAGGTTTCATTTGTGACACTTGTGGGCAGGGATTCAATACGCGTAGTACTTTAAAAACCCATATGAAATTAAAACATACAGATGAAAGAAACTTTCAGTGCTCTGAATGTGATTTGTCGTTCAAAGTCAAATCTTGGTTAGATAAACATTTCTCTAGGAAACATACTTCAAATAGGACCAAAGATTATGTGTGTAATATGTGCGGTATAGCGTATTTAAACAAAACAACATTGACACGTCACATGTCTGATAAACATACAGGTACCCCCGTGAGGCATCATTGTAATGTTTGTGATAAAAGTTATACTATGAAGAATAAACTGAATGCTCACATGCAGAAAAAACATAATATCATCTTGATGAATCCTGTTTATCAAAAATAGAAGTCTAAAAATTTATTAGATGTATAAAATTACTGTAAACCATGTAGTGTACATTATTGTTGGTTCCTTTATAAATTTAGATGATTTGAAGAATATATTTTATTCGAAATTTTTTCTTTTATTTATATAAGGAAAAAAAGGTATTCTTCATAGTTTTGTAGGGAATAATTCTTAAGAGCCAACCATCAGTTATCAAATTCTTGAAAGGAGGTTTGTCAAAAACAAGAATTTTGCTGAAGAGTGAGAAACGTTTTTATTTTTCACAATATCGTAAATTGTTATTGAGACGAATTCATCAGAATTGAAAACCACGTTCAATATGCCATTGCATCTATTTACAGTAACAGCGGAGAATTGACTGCAATTATTGTTTATGTAAAATGATAAACATTGAGAAATGAAAATATCAAATTTTTATTAATTCCAAGAGATGAATGCTCATTATTGAAATGAACAAACTTAAAATTCTTTTATAAAGTAGAATACTAGTAAGTTAATTACATTATTACATTATTTTTTTGTTGTAAATTGGTGCAATAGCACATTTGAACGTGATTTTTCATTCTGATAAACGTTTTTAAATGACTATTTTCGCACAAAATTGATATTTTTTGGCATGAATGAAATAATTCAATATCAGATCAGATCGTATTAAAGGTTTTAGCCCACAAATGGAGAAATTCCTTCAAACTGCTGGTGATAAGCAAAACGTTTTTGATGTCATATGTGTTTCCCGTTAATTTGTTTGGTTTAAAATTTGAGAAGGAAAAATTTATGTCTGTTTTAATAAATGGCCACATAGTGAAGTAGTTGTTTCAGACACATTGTTTCCTCATCAAATATAAAACTTAATCTTTCATTGATATTGATTGAATAGAATTAATAATGACTCATAAACAAAGTGAAATGTGTAATTTTCTAGGTGAAGTTATTTGATACTTTACAGAAATTAATTTTTTAATTTCAGAAGTAAGAATTACTATTGCATTTAGTTGCTATTCAGAAATGTTGGATAATAGTATAATGTATAATATCCAAGTCGCACTGAATTTAAGACCCAATCAGATAATAGACCTTCACAATTTCCGAAAAAAAAAGAAGTCAATATTACTTGTCAGTTCTATAACAAAATTATTCATTCATAAGAAAGAAACACCCACATTTTTCCATTTTCAAGATTCAAAAAATGAGTGTCATGTCACATGTCACTACCATTGTGACTCACCCCCGTCTACTTTTCCGACCACGTTCCTAAACGTATGATTTTTATAAAGCAAAAAAAGTACATGAATGACTATTCGACAAAACTATTCAATTAGTACTCCTTAAATAATATCTCTCCAACAAAATTTCCAATATAAAGCTTTTGTTCCTTGATATGTAATGGTTCTTGATTTCGGAACTTACCTTGAAATCGACCTCAAAAACAAGTTGGCATTGTCGAACGAACAATCAGAATAAGAATACAGAAGAAGAAAAATAAAATATTCAATATGTTTAATGTGTTGCTAGTGACGTCACGATGTCAGCCAATTTCACACTAATCACACTGCTTGTTTTTACTCGATTTTGAGAAATTACTGACAGATACATTGCAACAAATATTAAACGGGGTACTCGTATATGTATTATATATGTGCCCTTTTCCAAATTGGTGGTTTACACTTAAACGCTATGTTAGTTAAATTTAAAATTATTTAAACTCTGATTTTCAATAAAAATAATGTTTTATCAGAGCTCAATTCAACACCTGTTAACTGCACAGATGCTTATAATATTCATAAACATAAAAACAATTTCAACAAATAGGGAGAGAGTTTGAATATCAATAAAACATGGTTACCAGCACTTCAGAATTTAAACATCCTCCTTGTTGGGTATCAATGTACGTGGATTGTATTTCCTGTGATGTTGAAGAATTTCAGCGACTTGAATAGAATAATGTAGATTATCACAAGATACATCGACTGAGCAACTTGTAAACACCAAATTATTTGAATTTCAATCTGTTCAAAAGGAAACGCCATGCATAGTTCATAATCATACTAAATATGTAGATATGGGCCTAAGGACATATTTCAATATTTTACCACACTTTCTTATGTTGATTTTCTATTTAGCATCCATTGTGTTCATATTTAATGTTTTTTTTTATTTACTCTATAAGTCTTCACAAATTTATATCAACTGATTATGGTTTATTACAAATCTATATTCATAATGGAATCAACTGAATATCTATCTATAGCTGCAGTTCACATTAAACTAAGGAAAAAGACTGCTAAATGAACCTTTTTCGTGAAGTACGAAAAATCACTCACTAGCAGCGCTAGTAGTTCGGTAGGGACAAACACTGCCTAATCCTCATATAAACATATGGTAAAGTACAATTAAAAAAATAATGTTTTTAACAGAAGAAAATGTTCCTGGAGCAAAACTAAAATTTGCAACTGTAAAGGATAACAATGTTGTAACATTAAAACGTTGGCTTGCATGCCGTAATTTAAAAGTAACTGGAAAAAAGTTAATACACAAGTTAATATACAGACTCTAGTAAAAGTAGCGGTAGATTCAAACTGTAATTAATGAAATTAAAAATAATCATGAATTTCAGATTTATTTCCGAGTGAAATATGTATCAATGATATGTAATGTAAATATGTTATGAAATAAACTTAATCTAATATATTAAATGAATATGATTTAATAAACGATTTAGGTTATATCACATTCTAATCAATGGTAATTAACTATGAAAAATTTACTATTCATTTCATGTTTAGAGCATACATGAATATTTATTAATTTTTTGCACTGTTAAATCCACTCTTCTCGGAGTATGTATCCATTTCTTATATCTAACCCCATTGATATGAGGTTTTAAAATGGTATAAAAAACAAATTTTTTTCCGGATGTCGATTATCCGACGTACAAATCGAAAAACCGCAATGCTTTGTTGGCATTATACTAGCACAAAATAATTTTTATATCAGATTTATATTTTTAAATAATAAATTAATATTACGTAAATAACACTGTTTTACATGTGAATAGTTTATGTTTGTCCCTACTACTAGTGCTGCCTCTCGTGACACGTTCGCTGTACTATTCTCAGGAAAAAGGCTCATTGTATTTAAATTTACTCTCTGCTGATAAGGCAGAGTTTATCTTCATTTCTGAAGGATTTTGAAAAACAAAATTGATTAATACATTGGATTCAAAAGTTTTTGCTGAAAAAGTACCTCACATTTTAATATATATTACCTTAATGGTCATAATCTTGTGCGAGATGAAGAAGAGAATAGTGTTCGAGCCAGTGAATGAACGACTTTTATTTTATAAAAGCTATAAATTTCTCAGCCCGTGGCCTCAACATAGGTAGGAAACAAGTAGCAAATGTGTGAGAACCCCTTGCCATAAACCTTTGAACTCTAATAAATTGTATTTAAGCTACTATCTATAATATGAATGTTGTATTTTATGTCATTTCATTAATTTCAAGACTTTTTGTCAATAGCCGGACAGATTTGAAGATTCCAACACCTGCCCAGGCAAAATTAAAGGCTGGCTTTAGAGGAAAGCACAAGACATACACATTCAAGTAGATGTACAGTTATAAGTATGAGTACAATAACTATTTATTAAAGTTTAAGTACATCCGGCGAAGATTTTGTTAAACTTATCTCCGCTTTCTACCAAAGCTACGATGATCCAAATTTCATTCCCTATCTAAAACAAAGGTCTGGGAATATCGAAAGGAATTTGCAGTCAGTTGTTGAAATGATTACCTGGCTACTGCTTCAATAAGATGGGAACCAAGCTCTCACTGACTGTCCACTTGACACAAACATTTTTTTTCACAAGAAATTAAACAGCATTAAAAAATATTATGTTTATTTTGTAAGTGTGCTCCAAGACTTTTTTTCATAACATATACTTTATTCTCACAAATGTTACAGGGATAAGTCTTAGCCTTTCCTAAATGCTTTTCAGCAACATGTCTTGTCAGAGTCGTCTTATTCAAGTATGCGGCACCACATTTAGTACAAACAAATTTTTTTTCTCTGTTACTAGTATGCTTCCTTGAGTAATGTTTATCTAGCGTAGATTTTAGATTGAATCTCAAATTGCATGCTGTACAGGGGAAGTTCCTTTCATTGGTATGTTTCAACCTTTTATGAGTGTAAAGAGTGCACCTTGCTCTGAAACCTGCTCCACAAGTCTCACATACAAAACTTCTAGCTACATCATGTGTTTTTCTGTGAACACTTAAAGTGTGTCTATGTCGAAATGTTTTTCCACAAATCTTGCACTTGTAGTGTCTGTCTTCTGAATGTATATGTAGATGATCTGTAAGATAATGTTTTTTCAGAAATGCTGCACCGCAATGATGACAAACATGAGTTTTATGTATTTCTTCATGCTGCTTAACTTCAATGGGGGAAGAGAAGCATAACGTACATATTCTACATTGTAATTTGTTTTTTCTCACAGTAATTCTAGAAGGAACATACTCAATATTAGTTGGAAAACCTGTAGGAATTTTTAATTTAATTTCAGTGGTATATTTATCCAGATCACCCTCTTCCACTGTAGTATTATGTTTTGACTGCATGTGTTGACGAAATCCTGCTTTATGTAAGAAACAGTCCCCACAATCACAAGTATATTTTACAGTTTGCACCCGATTATACTCCCCATTTTCAATTATCTCATACTTATCGATGTAAGGCTCACTTTTATGATATTGTTTTTTGACATTTTCTTTAATTTCATCATTAGGGTCAGGTTCCTCTATGTGTTTTTCGGAACTGTAATTCTCATCACAGTTTTCTGGCGAAGACCTTGATTCTCCTTCATCTTCTATGGTTTCTTCCACTCCTCCATATTCAACAACACTATCTAGATTACTCTCATCAAAATATTCAATTTTCTCAAGATTTTCATTGTTCTCTAGGCAGTTTGTATTTATGAATTCAACTTCACTATCTACACCAACATATTCCCTGTCTTCAGTAAATTGTACCCTTGTTTGACAAATGAGTTTGTTGAGATATTCTTCATTTTCTTGGAAAACTGATATCATATTATTGAAATTTATGACTACTTCACTACAACTTTCACAAATATTTTTTGGTAACCTATCATCTTCGGAAACCTGTAGAAAGAAATGAAAATGATTGAGGGGTACTTATATGCTACCAACATTTCTCTGATATATACCTCATATGATGTGATAGTTTTGAAAACATTCGCCAAAGTTAAATCTTCATAATATATATCAAAAAACGAGTTCATCTCTGAACCAGACTGAAGACATATTCTGCATTTTCTACTTAAATCTGTTAATTCTTGTTGTTTATCACTGTCAGATGTACTGTCCATTTCGGCAGCAGTTGGTTGAATTTCATTACATTTCAATATTCATTCGCCCTTTAAACAATTTCACAAAACTTTCGAATTGAAACATAAAAAGTAAAATATTTTTTGATCTTCTTTCTTCTTCTTTTTCCATTAATGGCTTCAGCTGCCAGGGCTATCCAGCCAGGAGTTTCAGGATCATGTTGCTACTACAGGTGGAGCCCACACTAAAGTGGATCTGAGTTGGATCCAAACCCCACTTGGTTTTGCGCTATAACAAAGTTCGACTGTACTTTGAGGTCAGTTAATATTTTTTGAAATCATCTAAAAGAACAATTCGTTCAGGCCAGCCTCAACACCCTACACAGTAGGTTAATGGACTGACACCTATCAGAAAACAACTACTCCCCTGGCTAATACCACGAAGGGCGTTGGATTATATTGCGGCAGTTGTATCGCCAACAGCATATGCAGGAATAACTTCAGTGAAGAATCCTGCACTGACACCTGTCGGATATAATCCAACGCCCTTCGTGGTATTAGCCAGGGGAGTAGTTGTTTTCTGATAGGTGTCAGTCCATTAACCTACTGTGTAGGGTGTTGAGGCTGGCCTGAACGAATTGTTCTTTTAGATGATTTGATTTATAGCCAGTCTTCAAGTATGCCCACTGACTATACGTGAAAGTAATATTTTTTGATTTGTAATTTATGACTCTTCTTCTTATTTTCTTACCTTAAGTGAAGACCATTGCCGTAAGGTGGCAATGCAAACGTCTAGGAAAATCAAAGTGACATTCATTCACGCGAAACCGGTAAAGCGGAAAGAGGAGATAAGTGAAAGTACTCGAATGACCCATAAATTCTGCTTCACCGTTTTCGCAGGAGATGACCGTTTGGCGGGAGTTGGGGTCATCTCCCGCGAAACCGGTGTAGCAGAAAGAAGAGATAAGTGAAAGTATTCGAATGACGCATAAAGTCATCTCTCGGAGGAATTAGTCCAGTCATCACCCGAAGACGATTGTGGATAGTAACAATCTAAACGTCGTGAATTTTTTTGACTTGCAATCTCTTAGTTTTTTTGTTTCTTTATTTAATTTTTCAATTTTTTTACTTGTATTTTATTCCTATGTAATTTCATTTCAGGGTTTTTTTGCTTACTATCCTTTTAATTTGTATTGATTCTTTTAGGAATTTCAAATCATTTTATATAATATTAAACCATGGAAGTCTGAACTAATGAAATTCATCAGGAAACATTGTCAATCACCTTCAAACAAACGAAGAAAATAAATGTAAATCATACTTTAAATTTTGCACTATTTACCCCCAATGACATCACAAATGTGGCGGCTACAAAATTTTGTGACACTTCGTAACCCCTCCTATATACGAACCTTGATCTTATCCTCTGAGGGTCGATAATACTCGGTGTTGCCATTTAAACAAATTTACCCTTAGACCGGATTTACCATACCGGTAGATCGCATTGACATAACCTTGGTTATGTCGGTGGTAGATCGTTACCAATTTACGAGGGAATTACACCGATTTTCAATTAATGACAACGGAGAGTGATAATACTAAATTGTAATGTAGAATATATATCCTTCAAAAATATAATGATTTAAGTCATGTAAGTAACAAATATCAACAGTGCTTATACGATTTGTCACATAAATATTTATTGATCTGTAAATAATTTTGCGATGTATACATGCCATTTATTTAGGATATACTGTATTTAACAGTAATTTAATTCTGTAGGTTGTCAAAACCGGTCCCCATCACTTTCTTTTCATCGAAAACATTTATACTTTAACTTGAATAAGGGTTGCCATCGGCAAGGCTATCAGAGGGCGCTGTATGACGAGAGGTCAGACAACATTCAAACAGATTGTGAAACAGATACAAAAATTCCTCTCCCGATGTCCATTTGATAACTTTCTGTTGAGAAGAAGCGAAACGCGACCAATACCTGACGAATACATTTTTAAAAAACATTTTATTAAATTTATATCAATCTTACCCTGGTAGTAACGCTCATGTCAGTACGTCGTCGTTGTGGTCGCATAAGGGGAGATACCATATCAATTAAATACCTACATAGCTCCTTGGTTATTCTTAAGGTTTGCAAAAAATGGATGCTCACTCAAAACATCAAAAGGATCGATATTATCAAACCGATTAGGTTGATGTATTGGTTCCTCTGTCATTTCCAGGTTCTCTAAATTTGCTATATACTGCAGTTCATCCATTTTATATAAATTTATCAATTAGGTACAACTCAACTATTATGACAAATTTCAACCACTAAATATAAACTTTCTGTACCACTATACCTAACCACAGAATTCTGTGACCTAACCTCTCCAAATTCGTTAGCAAATCGTTTGCGAACTACAAAGTTCGCTCGCAGTAAATTGAGAGCGATTGCAGATTGTGCGAAGGGTCAAGAATACCATTACTCTAGGATCATTCGCAATATTCAAACAAGTTGCGAACGGTCAAGAATAGCGCCCCAGTACCTATGTTTGACTTTGGCATGTTTTAGTAAATTTGTGTGTTTTGCGAGGTTTTGACATATAAATAAGGTGTAAATAACATGTCTCCTACGACTTCGATCCCTGAGTAGCTCCGATCACAAATTCCCAAATATGGCTCATCCGGTGAAAAAACATTTTACTCTAAATTATAACTGGTTGGCAAGAGAATCTATCTAAATGTAATTATTGGAATACGAAAAATATAATGAGTTCATTAGGAAAACAAATTATTGTGACCTAAAAATAAATAAATCCGATAATAAGTTCAGGTTGATGATAAAGGTAAACCAGTTTTCAACTGACGGCGATTGCTGATAGGTACTAACAATCGAAACGTCGTGAAGTCTTTATCTGTAGAGTAGGGAGGGTGAGTGTAAGCCCACGCACTTAGGCCACATGTGATCTATTGTACATTCTCCCGAGGAGTTGTCCTCCTAGGTCATCGTCCATCCTGTCCTTTCCAGGATGGTGGACAGGTCACTGGGAGAAATCTCCTTTATATCGGCAGGTGAACGACAAGACTCGCCGAACACACACTCTCTTTGGCAACCTTGAGGTGTCTCACGGCGGTCTACATGAAGGTTTTGGAAGGTGCAGCAACATTACTGCGCGGCTTCTTCGTGTTCCCTGCGTGGAGGTGCTCAAGTGAGGGCGCTTTCCTGCAGGGGCAGCCGGTTCCTTGCCTTTATTCAAGGCGGAGCTTTTGCGCCCGCCGCAAGAAGTGCCCTTGCTGTTGGAGGTGGAGTGGGGGAGGAGGAGGGTGCCACTCCTGCCTCTACCGCTCTTGCTCTTTTTGGCCTCGGCGCCGCAAATGCGCTTATGCCTTGGCCTTTGTATTCCATCACGAGATGATCTGCCATGTCCAGCCTCATTCCGAGCAGTAAATTGGAATGGACATTTCTGTTCATCCCCAGCCACCGCCATAGATTGAGGTGAGCACTTCTGCTCAGCCTCGGGATTGGTTTTTGTGTTTGTTTCATTGATGTGTTCCCACGAGTAGCAGGGGAATAATTAGTCACCTGTGGCAGAGCCAGAGGAAGGCTGATTACAATAAGGTTTCGCCCGGTTCCCCAAGGGGATCGTTCGTAACCGTATATCACCCTCCGGCCATTCAGCACGATTCTTTACAACTTAGCTTGGGTAGGCTGGTCCACGGTGGCATGTTTCGCAAAGGCTTTTGGGAGGTTTTAGTTCCCCTCACCCTAATTATTTCTGCCACTGACCAGGAGTCCGATGACCCCGTCCGTAAGGCCACATTGGCTTCCCGGACAGGGCTCCCAGTCCCCTGGCCGTTCCCCTATCCTCCACCTGCGGACGCGCCCGATAGGTAGTTCAACCCACAGGAACGTCGTGAAGTAGTTTGACTTGAAATATTTATTCTTATTCTCCTTTTTTGCATCTCTTATCACCATTTTTCTTCATTATTTCATCGCAATCTTTGTTTACACATTTTTTTTTACATTTTTCAATTAGCTCATGGGAATATTTCGGTCCTGACCTCACACCCCTCAGCTAGAGGAACTCAAATTCGCCCTTAGCCAAAACAACTATATCGAATCCCAAATAAATATCCATCCAATTTCACCAAACCTGTACCTCACATCCCAAACAGCCCGACAAACAGACGTACCACCCTGTCGACGCTTGGGAGTAGGCAGATTGCCAGTGCCAGTATACAGCACTAGAAAGATAAAGGATGCAATCGAAATAAGAGAAGATCGGCAGTCTTAACAATTGAGATGACGCCTCTCAGCTGTATGGAAAGCAAACATATTCAAAACCAACAGCAAATACACCGCTCAGAACAATAGTGAATGTGCCTCCAGTCGGGCGGGACACATCACACCACTCAATTACCCCATCAGTAAACCGGAACACTTCCTGCCAAACATACATACCGTCAACCAATCAGGACTTTCCACACCACAACTACAGTCTACGGCATAATGAAAGAACATTAATTTGATATTGAAACTGGAAATGTTTACTTCTTTCAGAGCCATATCTCAAGAATGAAAACTAAAAAGACTCCAAAGAGTAATTTCAACAGATGTATGTGGTCCATAAGGATGTTAATACAAATGGCGTCCTTGTCGAAGCTCTGAAAAAGCAGAATATGCACACATGTATAGCTTGTCAAATGTAGGAAGAGCTTTCTGAATTCCGTTATGGTCCCGCCCACTAGATGTGCGTTCATTGGAAGACTATGGGAGCGAGAGAGAGAATTCTCGAGTCTTCTTCTTTTCGATTCAATAGCCTCAGCAACTAAGGCTATCCGGCCAGTTGGTAACGAAAAGAATTCTCAAGTCTCTTCCTAGATTTGACAAAGCTGTACAAGAAAGTAGGTCAAATTGCTCCCAAGGGCAATTTACAGAAGGATTTATGATACAATATGCAGATGAATAAACTGCATGGTCTCAGGAAAATTAATATACATGACCATTATGTGGTAAACAATATTGGTAGAGGTAGCAAAATGTCGCTCTCAGGGGAGGGTCTCGTTTCCACTATTATGAAACCCATGTCATTCTAGTTCATGGCGACTACAATAATAAAGCAAAACCGTGCTTGCAGAAAGCCCTGAATATTATAAGAACGAGAGGGGAAAACAATTTGTAACATGGCCATCCAACTTGACAACAAGATCATTCATCAAAAGGGCGAAGATAATAGCATAAGGACCTCTAAAATTTCGAGATTGAAAAGCCTTATGTTAGTCCTCCTCGACCATCAAAGTAAGATAATATTCATCATGAGGTTTTCAACTCCAGGTTAGATAAAAAAACAAAAAAGATCAACCTGATATTTGAAAACAAATTTGAATGTGGATCTCTCAAGGTTCCACGGTTTGGCATAGTGAAATAATAATAATAATAGACAAAATTTGCTTCCAGAGTAGTCTTTTTACACTTTACAACAATCGTCAAGATGTATCGATTAATTTTCACATGTGTAAACTATATATAACGTACTTATGATGCACTGTTAGGAACCTATGGTGTAGAAATGAATATTACTGGAGTTCTTTCCCAACTGATTGAATCAGTTTAATCTTCCTCTTGAAGATGATCACTTGGTGATCGAAACACGTCTCGAGGTGTTAAAAATAACGATTTGGTGTTGGGAAAGAACTCCAGAAATATTTATATATAACGTCTTCAGTGGATACTATCCATACTATTCATCAAAGTTCCTCGTTTCCTTCAAATTACTTGTTCTGTTCATCTATATTCACACAAGTGCCTACACCCTGTAGCACATTCTTTATGCGAAGAAATCCACTGTTTGATATGCATCAAGTGGCCTCCATGGGAGCACCCTTGACACCAGACATATAATCCTTTTACAACTTGATTGCAAATGGTACATAGCGCATATTCGGAAGAGTGACACCTGTCACACAGCCACCCTCCTCTCTGTAAGGGTTTCGCACACTTGCTGCAATTCGTATTGATTCTTGTACTCTGTTGGTTCAGTTGATAGACAGATGGTAACCAAGAAAGATTGATGATCTGAAAAAGAGTTGTATTAGGAATTTTAGGTTATTAGACGATAATGGATTTGAACAAATTGCAAAACTGAAATTTCTCAAAGTTTTTTTCATCACTTAGTTATTTCTCAAAACAAACTTATGTTGAATGCAAGCAAATCCCACAAAACAACCTTCTCCGATATGAACTTACAAATAGGAAACACTGTCAAGCTACTCGGAATTGTTATTGATGACAAACTCACATGGTCGAATCACATAGAACAGCTCTGTAACAAATTAGCAAGTACTCTGTTTCTCTTGAGGCAGTTAAAAAAAAACAATTTAACCTGATACTCTGAGGACATATTTCTATCTGTTTCATTTGCAGATAAACTATGAAATAATTTTATAGGGAAATGCCACTCGTGCAATAATCATCTTTCGAAAAAAAAAAAAGTAAGAATTTTAGCTGTTGTTGGATATAAAGAGCATTGTCACCCACACTTTATACAGTTTGGCATCATGCCTTTACCTTCATTATATATCTACAATTTCCTTATTAGAAATACACAGAAATGTCAACCAGTTACAAACCCAGTCAGATATGCATGAGCATAATACTAGGTATGCTAAGTTATTAAAAAAACTACAAGGTATAGATTAACCAAAACTCAAAATAATTCCCTGAATGTCAATCTATATAACTGCTTGCCAGAGAGAATCAAATCACTATCTTTCGATCAGTTTAAAAAGCGCACAAAAAAATATTCTTGAACACTGTTTTTACTTCACAGACGAGTTTCTCGTCACAACAAAGCAACTGAGTCATGCACTCAACACATCGCTTCTCTGAAATGCTCCATTCTGTTTATGCTATTTATTTATGCCTCACTTGATTATGTTTGTAACACTTTCAAAATATTATATGTTTTATTGTATTATTTTATCCATTATATGCTCTATATTGTATCTATTTATATATTGACATGCCATAAATGTATTTATATATGTAACATGGTGAAAATATATCTATCTATCTATTTATGTTAAAAAATGAAGGAAAATGGGTTTGAAAGTTATGTAACGTTCAATAAAGCAATTTGCTTATTTCTTAGAATTGAGTTAGGTTTAAAAGATATGTAACATTCAATGAAGCAATTTCGTTATTTATCAGAATTGAGTTATCTATGTTGAAAATGAAGAAACATGGGCTTAAAAGATATATAGCGTTCAATGATGCAATTTGCTTATTTATCAGAATTGAGTTATTTATGTTAAAAATGAAGAACAATGGGTTCAAAAGATATGTAGCGTTCAATAAAGCAATTTAATCATTTCTCAGAATTGAGTTAGGTTAAAAGATATGAAGCATTCGATAAAGCAATATGCTTATTTCTTAGAATTGAGATATTTGTGTTAGAAATGAAGAGAAATGGGTTTAAAAGATGTGGAGCGTTCAATAAACTTGCTTTATCGAATGATGATGGTTGTACAGTGGTATCAAGTACTTATGATGCACTGTTTGGAACCTTTGGTGTAGTAATGAATATTACTGGAGTTTTTCCCAACACCAAATCGTTATTTTTAACACCTCGACACGTGTTTCGATCACCAAGTGATCATCTTCAAGAGGAAGATTAAACTAGAAACTTTGCGAAGCTAACCCTATTTATGCTATACAGGTATATCATACAGCTACATAGTATGCTATTTGGTATTGGTCCGTCATCGTTATTCATAATATTATTATGTGTATTTATTTCTACACTCTCATAGGCATCTAGTTGCCTATTGTTGTCAACTTGTCTAACTAATCTTAATGAACTGAAGTCTATGGAATGGTTTTGTTGCAAAATATGATGGGCCTGTTGATTTTTCAGGTCTTCCATATTTTAAGTGTGCTAAGTGTTTCTTATATCTTACTTTGATAGATCTTTTTGTCTGTCCATGATATTTTGCATCGCAGTCCTTACATTCAATTTTGTAAATTCCAAACTTTCCCGAATTCTCAACTTTGTCTTTTGGACTTCCCAGCAGGCTTTGTAGTGTATGACTTGGACAGCATGTTTGTGCTGCCCACAGTGGTGTGAACTGTCAGGAATATACCTGTGCGTGCTTGTTTCGTATTCAACCCTCCATATTGGCTCCTCGTTACAAAAACGTCAAGAAATGGTAGCTGTTCCTTATTTTCTGTGTCCAATCACAGTCCTGAACGCCACCTCTTGTCATAGAGGATCTAATTTTCATTACACGTGACGATCCGTTGCAAATAATGATTGTTTTGGTTGCGCAAAAGCAAAGAAGAATGGTCCTTGAAACGTGACAATGTCTGTCAATCGTTCAAATCGGGGGACACCCACTTTTTAAGATTTTTGACCTTTCCAGTACATTTCAAACCCATCATCTCATGGGAACTGATGCCCAGTACTTCCGCCATCCTACCCACCGTTTGGGATGGGTCAGTCTCCACCAGGGTCTTCAAATACTCGTCTTGGATTATTGTAGATTGACCACTTCGGGGCTCATCTTCGAGAAATCTCCGGACCGAAATTTCACAAACCAATGACAAACAGTATGTTCTTCAGTACTATCATTGTCAAATTCCTGGTTAATTTTTCTGGCTGTTTTGGCAGCACTTTGGTTCAATTTGAATTCGTAGAGAAAAATTGTCCAAAATCGCTCAACGACATCATATTCATTTCAAAAAAATTCAAACGCTACAAAATAAATCAATAAAAATTTTATCCATTTCGGACCCACACAAATGATTTATTCTCACAGACTGAACTACCCTCAATTAAATGTCTACTTAAACTTGAGCAATGCAAGAACTTGTATGAAATAAAAAAACAAAAGAATCAAAAGCAACAATGATCTACTAGTCAACAACCAGTTTTATGAGTATAATACAAGGGGTAGAAATGACTTGCACCTGAGCATGGTAAGAACGAACAAAGGATTATACAATCTGTTACACAGGCTATAAAAGTCTTCAATGAATTACCTGTCCATATACGTGAGTTGCCGGGCTATTGTTCATTCATCAATAGTTTAAAAGAACATTTGAGCCTCGAGGCACATGTCTGATACGTTGATACTATGAGCTTTGTAGTGGTTTACTAGTTTTTGTGTTTCACTTGTAATGTTGAATGTTTGTGAATCCCTAGACCAGCATTTTTGCTGATTAGGGAGAATAACAAGATATTTTATATTTATAGTGTCTTAACTATGTTAACTGTACGCTGTTGTTATATTTTTAATAAAAAAAAATAGTAATAAGCTGAAAAGTAGCAAAAAAGTAACATTTGTAAAAAAAATAACAGCATCAAAACACGTGACATTAAAACATACAAAACTGTGAAAACGATCTAATATTAGTATTTTTGGAGTAGAAATTTTCCTTTTTCATAAATGTATTGAAGTTTATTTATATGAAAGTTGGTCTCATTACAGTGAATTTTTAATGTTTGCGGATGACCTGAAGCTTTTCAGACCGATAAAGTCATACAATGACCAAATTCTCCTTCAAGATGACCTAGATACAGTTTATGAATGGTGTGTTACAAATAACTTATTTCTTAATGTAAATAAATGCCATTTTATTACGTTCTCAAGAGTTGGTAGGAAATTCGATACATCATACAACATAAATGATCAGCACTTAGAATACACTTCCTCCATAAAAGATTTGGAGGTCATTTTTGACAAACAACTCAAATTTGTAAACCATAATAACCCAGTGAGTGTGAAATCATCCAAAACACTGGGTCTTATTTTACGTCGTTGTTCAAAATTTTCCATTGAAGCATTAAAAAGGATTTATTTAGCTCTAGTGGTGTCTAAGTTAGAATATGCATGTATCATTTGGTCTCCATTTTACAATGTGCACTGTGTGTCTCTAGAAAGAATGTAAAACAAATTTTTGAGATTTCGTTCTTTCAAGTTGGGTCTTCAAATACTGTACCATGACTATTCGAGTATATTACAAGAAATGGGGCTGAAACTATTGCAAACCAGAATAATTCATGCAGATCTATGCTATGTATTCAAGCTGCTCAATGGACTAATAACTTGTCCTGAATTACTTGAATCTGTCAACATTCATGTTCCGAACAGGAATCTTAGACACAGCCATTTATTTCATATACCTTTCCATCATACAAATTATGGCAAACATACACCCTTGGAAAGAACCCTAAAGTTAGTAGATGACAAAAACATCAGTGGTGTCTCTTATGGTCGTTTTAAACAATCATTGAATAATTTAAGTTGGTAATTGTTTACATAAGGTAGTAACAAGTTTAATTTTAATTCTATATCCTATACTTATTTTATATTGTTATATAGTTGTGTGCTGCAGAAACGTTCCGTAGCGTATTAGTTTATATTTTACATTTTTATATTGTACTTTTTTTCTGTGAAATTTTTACACCGTAATGGGGTCTATCCCGTATAAATAAATAAATAAATTACTCCTAGACAGATTAGTCACACTGTAAATGAAAATATTTCCGCTTCAGACCACTCCAATTTATAACCTGAAAACTACAAATCATTTTTCAAAAATATATGCTCTTATAAAGATGTATATTTGTCTTTTATAGCTTTTATAGTTTATGCTTGAGGAAGCTATTGTATAGCGAAAGACTTGTCGCGGTTTTTGTAAAAACCTTTATAGTGAAAATCATACAATAAACTGTATTGATTAGTTTTTTTTATAGCAAGTTGAACAATATCCATCGCTGGTGTTCAAGTTTTGAGGTTTCAAATCTATAACTGAATCAAATATGAATTATTCGTTGAATGATAAAACTAGGATTACCTGAGTCACAATATTCCATAAACGATACCTGCTAAGTACTTCTATGTAACCAAGAAGCCAGTGTTCTTGCATAGCTTCATCTAGTTGTTTCAAATATTTTCTACAATCTCCCAAAACTATGAGAATACACGCTGCCGTCTGTATATCTCCTAATATTGCATGATGTTTCAATGCTTCGACCACTAAGCCACTCGGATCCCAGAGAGACTTCTTGGGAGGTTTCGACACAGAAAGAAGGGTAATAGATTCATCTTCAACTTGAAAAGTTTGGGTATCCTCGTTAAAATCCGGCGAATGATGATTAGGGAAGTCTTCTGGGGGAGGAGATCGATCCTTGAGCTCATGACGTACTGGAAATGCTTCATTTGGTATGATCCACTCATGACATTCTGATGCTAAATGGTTGAACCCTCGGTAGCCCACTTGAAAATCTGAAGAAGTATTACTTTGTTATTGACAAGTTATAGCAAATTTAGTTTTACAGTGATGACAGACCTACTCGAAACTCTGAAGTATTCCAAGTTCCCTACCATCGCACAAATTGTGGTTAGTTATCAAAGTACTTTGACACGTTTTGTTAGATAATAGGAAAAAAATGTCTGATGATTGGCGACTTCAATATGGACTATGAGGATGATGATTACTTCTAAACCAAAAAGGTCAAACATTTATTTAATATGTATGGATTAAGTCAAATTGTAAATACAAAGACACAGTGTACGCAGCATAGCTCTACTCTTATAGATTATGTTGTAACAAATATTGATTCTAATGGAGCAATTGTTCATGATAATCCAAAACTAACTGACCACTCTATCATATCTGTAAATTTCTGTAATGCAAATATTAGGTTAGGGGAAACATTCAAGCAAATTAGAAAAATGAACGTAGATACCTATCATAACATAAACATTGAGCTATTGTCCTGTAACTGGAATTTGAATTCAGTTAACGTTGATGTGATATTGGAGAATATAACAAA